AAGTGAATTTGCTCTGTAAATCTTCACCCAAATCAAAATAAAATTAAATTAAAAAAAAAAAAAAACATAAAAAAAGTTTAGGTCTTTGGTCCATTTTGAGTTAGTTTTTGTGTATGGTGTAAGGTACGGATCGTGTTTCACTTTTCTACAAATGAGATAACCAGTTCTATCAGGACCATTTGTTAGACTATTTCTTCCCCCCACTGAATGGACTTCAATCCTTTCTTGAAGATAAGCTGCTTATAAGTGGATGGATTTACTTCTGGGTTTTTCATTCTGTTTCACTGGTTTCTGTGTCATTGAACCAGTATCATCAGGCTGTTTTGATTACTGTGGCTGTATGGTAGGGGTTTTTTGTAATTTTTATTGTGATTTGGGTGAAAGTTTACAGAGCAAATTCATTTTCCATATAGCAATTCATACATATTTTGTTTCATGACACTGACTGCAATTCCCTGCATTGTAACAGCTCTTTTCACTGCCTCCCTGTAGTTACTGCTTCCCTGTGTCCCTCCCTCCCATGCACTCCCCACCCCCAGCTGTCTCCCTGTGTGAACACTGCCTATCTGCTCTCCCATGATTGATTGCTCCAAAGAATGTATCTATCTCATGTAAATGCTCACCCATATGCCTGTCTGTTGTTTGACTGGAAGCCACAGGAGTGAATTCTGTTTCAGACCTAAAAGGTAACTAGGACCAAAGTCTCAGGGGTCTCACCAGACTCTATCAGACCAACAAACCTGGTCTTTTTTTTTTTTTTTTTTAATGATTTTGAGTCTTGTTCCACATTGTTTTCCCTCTCTATCCAGGATCTCCTACATAGATCCCCCTCCGAGTGGTTGACATTGGTAGCCAGGCACCATCTAGTTCTTCTGGTCTCATGGTCATATAGGCTTAGGATCACTTGGTCTGCTAGTCCCTTGGACTAATTGTTTCCGTGCATCTTTGGTTTCCTTCATTCTTCTTTGCTCTGCATGATGAGAGACCCATCATTGCATCTAGATAGCTACTTGCAACTGTTAAGACCCCAGTTGCTACTCACCAAAATAGGATGTGGAACAATGTTTTTGTGTAGTATGTTATGCCAGTTGAGCTTGATGTCCCCTGTGACCATGGTCCCAAGTATATGGTAAATAGATCAGGAAGTGTGAGGCCTCCTATTTTGTTGTTATTCAATATTGCTTTAGTTATCCAGGGTCTCTTTCCTTTCCATATGATGGAGATTGGTTTTTCCATTCATTAAAGAATGTTATTGGGATTTGGATCAGGATTGCATTATACCTATAGATCACTTTGGGTAGTATTGACATTTTCATAATGCTAAGTCTTCTAATCCATGAGCATGGTATGCTTTTTCCATTTATATAGGTCTCTTGGTTTCTTACAGTAGTGTTTCATAGTTTTCCTTATGTAAGTCTTTTATGTCCCTGGTTAGGTTTATTCCTAGGTATTTTATCCTTTTGTGGGCTATTGTAAGTGGTATTGTTTCTTTGATTTCCTTTTTGGAGCTCTCCTTGTTAGTGTAAAGGAACCCAGCTGCTTTGCTGAATTGTTCTGTTAGTTCCAGTAACTTTCTTGTGGAGTTTCTGGGATTTTCTATGTATGGGATCATGTCATCTGTGAATAGGATAGTTTTACTTCTTCCTTTTCAATTTGGATACCCTTCATTTCCTTTTCTTCCTTTACTGTTCCAGCTAGGACTTTCAGTACAATATTGAATAAGAATGGTGATAAACGGCATCCTTGTTTCATTCCCGTCCTCAAGGGAATGCTCTCAATCTTTCTCCGTTGAGAATGTTGGCAGTTGCTTTTACATATATGCCCTTAATTCTGTTGAGGAATTTCCCTTCTAGTCCTATTTTGCTGAGAGTTTTTATCAGGAAAGTGTTGGGTTTTATCAAATGCCTTTTCTGCACCGATTGAGATAATCATGTGGTTCTTTTCCTTTGCTTTATTTATTCAAGTTGAAGGAGTTTGGTGTTTGGAAACAGATTGTAAAGTCCGTGGGTACCCAGAAAGTTCTCGCCTAGGCAGAAGAGAATTAACCATTTTTAAGATAACAGAGTCTTTGTGTGGTGCTGATACACTCAGCTATTCACTGAAAGATTGGAGGTCTGAGTCCAGCAAGAAATGGTTGGCATTCTGCTTTAGAAATATCAGCCACTGAAAACCCTATGGAGCACAGTTCTGCTCTGATACACTTGGGGTTGCTGTGAGTCAGAGTCAACTTGATGGCAAATGGTTTTTAAGACTGCAGAACCCTACCCCTAAAATAGCCTTAAGAGAGATACTGGGCTCCTTGGCCACCCCTCCCCTTCTCCTGGGAGGCTAACCTCTTCCAGGGCTAATCATGCTCCATTCTGCCCCTCAGGTGAGCATTGCCGTGGGCTGTGCCACACGTGACCGGACAGTGCCCTTCTGCAGCACTTTTGCAGCCTTCTTCACAAGGGCCTTCGACCAGATTCGTATGGCAGCCATCTCTGAGAGCAACATCAACCTCTGTGGTTCCCACTGTGGGGTGTCCATTGGTGAGTTTAGGCCGGCCTGGATATTTACACCCATAACTTCCCTTGTCCGTTTGGACCAGGAGGAGTGGGATAGGGGAGAACCAAGATTCCATTCCATGGATGAGGACATATTTTTACAGCTTATCCTTTCCCACACCACAGGGGAAGATGGGCCATCTCAGATGGCCCTGGAAGATCTAGCCATGTTCCGGTCAGTCCCCATGTCAACTGTTTTTTACCCGAGTGATGGAGTTTCTACAGAGAAGGCAGTGGAATTAGCAGCCAATACGAAGGTTGGTCAGCTATGGTTATTCTCTCTTGGGCTAGCAATTAGGTCTTCCCTAGAGAGTCAGAGGAGAGGCTGGCATGGAGACATGCATCCAGGCATTCACTACCCAGATTGGTGTTTCCTGACCTTGGCCTTGGTATTCACGTAGCTTGTAGGAGTTATATGAGGAATAGCAAATACATACCACTGATACTGCCACGTGGCAGACATGTCTATTGGATCCCTGCACTCTTCCCCAGTGAGAAGCCTAGCAGCTTCTGCCAGTCTAGCACATAATACCTATTTCCCCTCCCTGAGTTGGGCTTTCTGAAACAGAATGAGCTGAGCAACAGATCATAGACTAGAGTGCCTGCTGGTTCCCATCCCTCTGCCTGAGGGCAGGGGGCATGCTGATGTACTCTGGGGGAGTAGCCCCACCTGGGACTGGAACCCCAGCTGTCTGTCTGTCTGCTAGAAAAGTCATTTTCAGTCTGAGGCTGACAACACTTGTTGGGCAGCCCTCAGGAGGATTGTTAGGGAGGTGCAGGCTGCATAGGGCAAGGGAGTCCTAGAAGAATAGTGGGATGAGGTGACTGACTGATGGACACTCTCATGGAGATGACCAGGTGGAAGACTGGAAGAGGTTTGCAGAGTAGGATGGGAGGACCCCTCTTGAAGGACTCCACCCTGTAATTCTCTTCTGTTCCTGCCCCAGGGCATTTGCTTCATCCGGACCAGCCGCCCAGAAAATGCTATAATCTATAACAACAATGAAGATTTCCAGATCGGACAAGCCAAGGTCAGTGTACTACTTCATACTCCAGGGACCCCACAGAGTTCTCTCTGCTATGACTGAGCAAGCCCCCCTGGGGCCCCACAGGCTGCCCAGGCCACCAAGTCCCCTAAGCCTTACTGGCCCTTTTGTCGCCCTCAGGTGGTCCTGAAGAACAAGGATGACCAGGTGACTGTGATCGGAGCCGGGGTGACCCTGCATGAGGCCTTGGCCGCTGCTGAACTGCTGAAGAAAGGTGAGCAGGGGAGACCTGAAGAATCATAGCTTGAGTTCCGTGTGTGTACTAGGTCCTGGGATGAGAGTCTTATGTAATTAAGTGATGATAATAGTAGTAAAAAGCACCCTATGTGCCTAATATGATGCCAGGTCCTGGGGCTGCAGTAGCTCAGTCACTGCCCCACAGCCTTAGACTTGAGACACTCCAGCATGATGGTCAAGGCAGAGGTCATGGAGCATGATGATGGGGTTTGAATCCCAGCTCAGCCAGGTCCTAGTTGGGAGTAAGTTTTTCACCATCGCTGTGCCTCAGTTTCCTCATCTAGAAAATGGAGATACTGTCGTCTTCCTCATGGGGCTGTCCTGAGGATTAAATCATTGTGACCACTAACTCTCAAGTGATAGCAGCTGACATGGTGCAGGAGATATACATAGTCACAGAATCATACACAGTCAGGTTTCAGCTGTGCTGAACCAAGGGGATGACATGTCAGGGAGGGCTAGCAAGAGGGCATCCTCCATCCAGGGGCCAGTTGAAGGCCCATGAAAAGGCAGACCCATGGCACCTAGCCTGCTCCCCTCAGCCACAGTCCCATGATTCTCCCCTCACAGAAAAAATCAACATCCGTGTGGTGGACCCCTTCACTATTAAACCCCTGGATAGAAAACTCATTCTCAACAATGCCCGTGCCACCAAGGGCAGGATCATCACCATAGAAGACCATTATTATGAAGGTAACTAGGGCCTGGGCAGATGGGCCAGGGGAGGGCTGGGGAAATGACAGGGGCCAGAGAGTCCAGGGCCGGACATAGCTCCTGTGATCCGAGGCCCAAGAGGGTAGCTGTGGACCAGAGAACCTAGAGCTGTCCCTTGGAGCAGCACTTAGCCTCTTAAGAGGCCTCAGGCCTGGCCTGGTGACACAGTGAACTGCTGTGTCCAGTGAACTGCTGGAACTAGTCCATGGAGTCCTGCCACCCAGGAAGCCAGCAAGGATTTCAGCCTTGCTGCTGACGGTGGAAAAGGGGATTGTGCTTCTGATGCCATTTAAGGCTGTTGTGCAGATTCAAACTCTTAATCTCTGCCTTTTATGAGCCTTTTAGAAAGCAGCTCTCCACAAACCTTTTCTCCTAGGAGGCCCCAGCGGAAGAGATGGGTGTAGACTCTGAAGTCAAGTGCAAATGCTAGTGCACTGATGATGGCTGCCCACAGAATGTATTAATTTAAAAGCCATGTTTGGGCTTGCTTTTAAAAGTGCTATGGTTGATTAGCTCCCGCTGTGGAGTGCAGAAGGGTGGTATATGTGAAATCTTTGGTCTAGGGAATCAACTCAGAGATGGGCTGAAATGACTGGGGGCCAGCCTCAGGCTCTGGAAACCCACCACTGCTCCCCCTGAGGCCTCTTATTACCCAATCCCCCTCCTTTGCTTTGTCCAGGTGGCCTAGGTGAGGCAGTATGTGCTGCTGTTGTGGGCGAGCCTGGCGTCACTGTCACCCGCCTGGCCGTCAGCCAGGTACCAAGAAGTGGGAAACCGAATGAGCTGCTGAAGATGTTTGGCATTGACAAGGACGCCATTGTGCAAGCTGTGAGGGGGCTCATCAAGGCCTAGGGGCCTTAGGGGGTGTGAGGTGGGGGTTCTACACATTCCTAACAGTTGCTGACAGAGGTGCTCAAAGATGTACTGAAAGAAATGGTAAATATATGTTTTGAGAAAAATGAATTGGTCCCTGAAATGTTTTTTCTTAATGTAATGCAGCCAGTGTTGGTTCTGGGGAAGAGGGCAGAGTCAGAGGAAGGGAGGGAGCCTGGCACTCTAGAGAGGCTCCCAGCTGGGACCCAGGTAACTCAGGGCCTTCTGGAATCACCTTCCCTGGGCTTGGTACCTGCATCACCTGTCAGAATTACTGCTGCCTCCTGAACACCACAAGGTTACATTCGATTGCACCCTGCTCTCGCTAAAAGGCTGAAAGCCCTAACCCCTGGGGCAGTGGGTGAGAGGAGAGTGGTGGCGGTCAGAATATACCTGAGTAAATTTAGTGAGGAGAGGAGAAAGAGCTGATTTTGTTTACTCCAGCAGTCCCTACCTGTTCTGAGATGCCATGCTGTTCCTGGTTTGGAGGTTTAGGCTCATGGTTTCATGGGACATCCCAGTTAATCAGCCCAATAACATGTTTAGGGCCTTTGTTCTATGCTTAATGCCTGGGGTCTTGAAAACTTGCAAGCACCTATCCAAGGCATGACAGTTGGTCTCTGTTTGCCTGGAACAGTAGGAAAAAGGACAGTCAGGGATAGGAGGAGGATGTGGCATGTATGGCTGATTGTCTTCATGAATAGCCACCTCCTTTGCCATGAGACTAGAAGTGGATGGTGCTCAGCTATAATTACTGAACATTTGACCAACTATTCCATACAAGAATCCTGATCAAAAAGGGGGGAAATGCAGAACAGAATTTCAGACTATCATGGACTTCATGAACCCTTGAAACTATTGCCCTGAGTAATCTTTAAACCAAAAATACCCCATGAAGTTGTCTTAAAACCAACCTAACTCAAAGTCTGCCTTGATGACTGGGGTCTTAAAAGCTTGCAAGCTGCCATCTAGATGCAACAATGGGTCTTTCCTTGTCCAGAGCAAAGACAAATGAAGAAAACCAAAGATGCATGGAAACAATTAGTCCAAGGGACTGGTATACCATGCAATCCTCAGCCTATGTGACCATGAGACCAGAAGAACTAGATGATGTCTGGCTACCACTGTCAACCACTTGGAGGGGGACCTGTGTAGGAGATCCTGGATAGAGAGTGAGAACAATGTGGAACAAAACTAAAAATTAAAAAAAGGGGGGGGGGGGACCAGGTTTGCTGATCTGATGGAGCCTGGTGAAGCCTGTGAGACTGGCTACTAGCTACCCTTCGGGTCTAGAACTGAACTCACTCCTGGGGCTTCCAAATAATAGGCATATGGGCTGAACATTTACATCAGGTAGATACACTCCTTGGAGAGAACAATCATGGGAGAACAGAAGGATAGTGTATGCACAGGGAGACAGCTCAGGGGGCAGGAGTGCATGGGAGGGAAGGACACAGGAAAGAGGAAGCTATGGGAGTGAGGGGGAATGGGAAGAGAGCTATTACATTGTGGGAAATTGCAGTCAATGTCATGAGACAAAATGTATGAACTGCTGTATGGAAAATGAATTTGTAAACTTTCACTCAAATCACAATAAAAATTACTAAAAAAAAAAATCTGCCTTGAGCACTGTGTTCTTTTAAGATCTATCTATATGGATTAAATAATAGCACCTCAGAAAGATTAGATAAGAAAATTAGAGAGCAGTGAATTTATGTTATTGGGGGAGGAACAACTCAGAAAAGGATGGTAAGTATGGTTGTACAATCAATGTAATCAATGTCACTAAATGGTACATGTAGCAACTGTTACATTGGTGTATGTTTTACTATATACTCACAACAAAATTACAATTACACTTAAAAAGATAAAAGCCACTCTGTCCCTAGTGGGTTCGAACCACCTACTTTGTGGTTTGTAGCCAAATGCCTTAACCCCTACATCTCCAGAATTCCTTTGAGAGGAACTAGTGAGGGCCATAGGCATCAAGGCCTCAGCCCCTCCCAACCTTCCCCCTACCCAGCTCCCACTCATGCACCTGAGGTGACTCCATCCTAGAAGCCTGGGTCAGGCAGGCACCTCTTGAGAGGCTATGGTATGGGTACCAGGCACTGAGGAAGCCCACCATGATGGGGAAGAGAACAGGAAATGCCTGTCTTCCTGTTTGTGCCAGGGCAGGGGTGAGGGTGAAGCGGACAGTCCTCAGCCAGGAAATCTGGATCCCTAACACGATTATAATACCCCTTGTATGATTCAAAATAAAAACAATGGTAAACCATTGAAAAGAGCAAGGAAACCGGCAAAGGTCTGCAGGTATCTGACTGGGAGTAGGAGCCGGAATGTGTGCCACCTGGTGGCCATCTGTGATACTGTGATGTCTCGCCTTGGAAACCCTTTGACACAGTTTTACGCTGTCCTAAAGCCGACTTGACGGCAAATAACAACAACAACAAACGTCTCTTAAGGAGCTCTGGTAGCATAGTGTCTAAGGCACTTGACTGCTAACCAGAAGGCTGGAGGTTCAAACCCAGCAGCCACTCCTCGAAAGGAAAGTTGGGCAATCTACTTCCGTAGTGATACTGCCTCAGAAACCCAAGGAGGGGTCACTATGAGTCGGAGCCGACTGGAAGGCACATAACAACAACAACAAAGTCTCTTAGGAGCTCTGGTAGTGTAGTGCCTAAGGCATCTGACTGCTAACCAGAAGGCTGGCGGTTCAAACCCACCAGCCACTCCTAGGAAGGAAGGTTGGGCAATCTGCTTCCATAGTGATACCAATACTGCCTCAGAAACCCAAGGAGGAGTCACTATGAGTTGAGTCCGACTTGACAGCACATAACAACAACAGCAAAGGGTCTCTCTGACTTGATGGTAGTGGGTTTGGTTTGTTTTTGGTAAGTGGAGCTGAGATGGAGACATGGGCAGAGGGGCTGACCACTGATAGCAGCCAGCCAGAAACAGTGAGAAGGAAGGGGAGAATGAAGGTGACATTACTGAGCACCTCCTGCAAGCTAGTGCTTTACATGTTTGCATCTTATTTAATCTTCACCACCACAGTAGTATCCTGGGTTTACACCTGTCTGTATGTCATACTGTGGTGCTTATGTGTTGCAAACATGCTGGAAGCTATGCCACCACTATTTCAAATACCACCAGTAGGGTTCCCCCATTTGGGTATGTGGTCAGGTTTCAGCAGAGCTTTCAGACTAAGACTAGGATGAAAGGCCTGGCAATCTACTTCCAAAATTAGCCAATGACAAAAAAAAAAGAAGAAGAAGAAGGTAGGGACCAGGTTTGCTGGTCCAATAGAGCCTGGTGTAACCACTGAGACTATGGCCCCTAGCTGCCCTTCAGGTCTGGAATTGAACCCACAACTGTGGTTTCCAGCCAAACAAAGTACAGGCATGTGAGTTAAACATTTACCTCAAGTAGACACATGCCCTGGAGAGAACAATCATGGGAGAAGGAAGGGCTGCTTATGCACAGGGAGACAGCTCAGGTGGCTGGAGAGTATGGAGGGATGGACACTGGGAAGGGGTAACTATGGGGAGGAAGTGGGAGGGGAGCTGCTGCATTGTAAATTTTGGTCAATGACATGAGACAAAGTATATGTGAACTGCTGTATGAAAACTGAATTTACTCTGTAAATCTTCACCCAAATCCTAATATAAATAAATAAATAAATAATAAAAATAAAAAATTAGCCAATGAAAACCTTACGAATCACAACAGAGCACTGTCTGCTAGAGTGGTGGAAGATGAGCCCTCTAGGTTGGAAAGCACTCAAAATACACTGTGGCTACAACAATGGACTTAAGCATACCAATAATCATGAAGTCTGCATGGGACCAGGCATCTTTTCATTCTGTTGTATATGGGTCACCATGACTCAACAGCAACTAACAACAATACCACTGAGCCCCAGAGGAGACAATATTTGCCCTAGTCATGGTGAGTAAGGAGCAGAGGTGGGACTGGAACCCTGGTCTGTATGACTCCAGAGATCCCAAACTCTGCTCTGCCTCTGGGGCCTCTAGAAGGATGGGTTGTGCAGTATTCCACTGCACAGGCCCTTGCATGGGCCTTAGGACAATAGGGATATGCAGTGTGGAGGGAGCAGCCACGAACTCAGATCCTTTGCATCTATTAGCAAAATCACCCACTGTCTGCAGAGCTGCCAGGCCCACGCAGAGAAGTTTCTAGAAGCCAGTGGTGTGACAAAGACACTTCAGCTGAAGTGGACACAGTCCCAGGCCTTTTGGGCCTGTCTATAGCAGGCAGCCATGGCCCCAGGGAAAGCCTCTAATCCAAGATGGGGACGGGAGGAGCAGCTGCCCTCACCACCAGTGTGGTGGTTAAGTTTGTGTGTCAACTTGGCTAGGCCTGGTTGAGTGGCTGGGCAGCTGGATGTAGTATTCCCCATGATGAGATTGGTAACCAGCTCCATGTGGGATCTACTGAGAGCAGCTGAGTAGCTGCCTTTGAGTATGTGGTCTGCTGTGGTATATAAGCAGTACCTTTGGGAATGGTCTCTAGCTTATGGCACGCTTGGACTCTGCATGTAGCCATGTTGTTTGTTCAGCAGCCTACCATGCTCTGCCAACCTTGGGGCTTACAATGGACTTGAATTAATGGCCTGCCATGTGGTTTAGTAACATTGGGACTGTGCCATTTTATTTGTCAACCTTGGGCCTGTTAGCCTCAGCAGCCAGTAGCTGCCTGAGTGAAGAAACGCCTCTAGCTTCAGTGGGCCAGGAGCAAGAGGCAGAGCTGAAGCCCAAGGTCAAGGGGCTTTCACACAGCTCCTAGAACCTGGCACTTGGAACTCAGACTTCTAGCCTCCCAAACTGTAGAGAATAAACTCCGGTTTGTTCAAGCTATCCCATTTGTGGTATGTTCTTGTCAGAGCAGCACTAATCAACAGAACCACCAGCCTGCCTGGCTTCTCACAGGTCCACACAACTTGTGAGGGAAAAAAATAAAAGGCCTGGATGGGTGTCTTGGGGATCAGGCTGGACAGGGGTATGACAAGACTCCCAAAGCCTATAACCTGGTCACCTTGACCCAGTCCTGGGACACTGAAGCCACAGGAAACTCTGGAAC